TTTTTTTTAATTTTTTTTTTCAACGTTTATTTTTGGGACAGAGAGAGACAGAGCATGAACGGGCGAGGGGCAGAGAGAGAGGGAGACACAGAATCGGAAACAGGCTCCAGGCTCTGAGCCATCAGCCCAGAGCCCGACGCGGGGCTCGAACTCACAGACCGCAAGATCGTGACCTGGCTGAAGTCGGACGCTTAACCGACTGCGCCACCCAGGCGCCCCTGATCCTGTCATTTCTAAGTAAAAGCACAACTATAAGATCACTTGGACAGCACTGCTTGATTGTTTAATCCAATAACTGCAGTAGTTTTCATTTGTCCTTTGAAATGAAGTATGTTTTATGGGACTGGGTACACTATATTCTGATTTAAGATGCACAACACAAAATTGTTCAAAATAAAATTTCTTACACTCATTTCATCTAAAATAGAAGAAAAAATCTACTTGTGTTTAAGTAGAATGATACTCTTCCCTTGCTTCACATTCCATTCTCCTACTCTTTTAATAAAAGAAGCATAATGAAAATACATATTGAACAATTTTGATGTGTCAACTAAGCACTGGTCATAAATTATCTCAATTAATCCTCACAAAAATGTTAGAAGAAGGCACTAGTGTAATTATCAGTGTCTAATATGGAGTTTGAAGTTGGAAAAAAAAAAAAAGAGTCAAATTTTGGTTTCCCAACGAATAACCATGTTATATATAACCATGACCAAATAGGCCATTCAGATTTTTAGATCTTGTTTTCTCATCTAGAGAAATGGAGACAATAACTATCTAAAATTAAATACCATGTGAATGCCTAGCATAGAATAGGAGTTAAATATATTCTACTTTCAGAAATTTTCAGTATTTAATCCTGAAATACTGGTTGGATTGAAGAATAAAACTGGGAATTTTAGTCATTGTATATTCCATTATTAAAAAATTTACTACTTTGAGAAAGTTAATTTGTGGCTTAATTTTAATTTTGTTATTTAAATTTGTTATTTGTTATTTGGTATAATTCTTCTGATTATCCAAAGTATAAATGAGAGTTTCTGTTATTCCTGTTTTCCTGTATGAAACCTCTGACAGAAAATTAGAGAATTAGCCCACACAAATAGGGTCTTTCTTCATATTTGACTGTGAAAGTTCTGTCATTGACCACAAGATTCAGCCTTTTAACAATGGAAGATAACTGCTAATCAATGTAGTATAATTATTAATTTTTTATGCACATTACTTTAAAAATTTTTTAAGGATATAGGAAATGAGTAAGTATATAAATGCAAGAAGGCTTGCCATGAATAGGTTGTTATTGGAGTAGTTGTGGAAATGGGTAGTATTATACTATACTATCCATTATACTATTAGACAATTTCAGCTACTTTTGTAGATATTTTATATTTTGCAAAAGAAAATGTTAAGAAAAATTGATAGCTTTCAAAATCTTGATTTCATATTCTACCCTTGAAAGGCTAATCAAGACAGACTAGAATTGGATGCATACAATAGTATACTGAAATCTTCCAGGAGAAGAATAATCGACCTTGAAGATATACTTGTTTGCAAACAAAACAGGCATAGTTTTATTGTCCTTAGGAAAAGGAAAATAAGGAAAATGAGGATATTGGCTGCAAAATCCTGAAAATGGAGCACATTTTTTACAAATATGTTTGAAGAAAGAAATGAACAAAGTTGATCTGTCCTGATCTTTCATGAGCATCAGGGACTGATTGTTCAATGATTCAGTGTAAGTAGCCTTTCCTTTTGTTTTATTTATCAGATACCATTTTGTAAGGTTTATTTGAGAGAGAGAGAGAGAGAGAGAGCAGGGGAGGGGCAGAGAAAGAGGGAGACACAGAATCTGAAGCAGGCTCCAGTCTCTGAGCTGTCAGCACAGAGCTCAACGCGGGGCTTGAACTCACAAACTGTGAGATCATGATCTGAGCCAAAGTAGGACACTCGACCTACTGAGCCACGCAGACGCCCCTCAGATACCATTTTTAATGAGTGCGTCTTGTCTCACACCACTGTGTTCTAGCATTATAAGTAACATCTCTCTAGATAAGCTTTTACTAGTGGAAAGGGTCCCAAAGTTCAAGGTCCCCATGTGTCTGTCTGGCCTGTAGACACTGGCTGAGCATAAATGAGTTTCTCCTTCTCATATCGTTTGATTGTGCAAAGTCTTTGTGCTACGTATGCTCCTGAGGTTTCCATGCTGGAGAACAGTGCACTCTCGTGGGACAATAGTAACACCAGAGCTACAAGAACCATGTGCACCACAGAGCAGTTTACAAAGCAGAAGTGTACAAATGAAAGACAGTAATCGATATTTATTTGTGTTCACTGGATTAGCACAGATATATGATGAATGTGTGTATTCTTAAGTCTTAATTGTGGATAAAGAAGCGCATGCTTTATTTTCCTTTTATGAATTACTAGTTTCATATTAGAATTTCACCTGCACAGGTGAGTTTTAGCAGGCTGAAATACTAATAAAGTTAGAGGAGAAGATTTACTGAATTATCATTTCATTTAGATAATATGAATTACTCAGATTTTCCTGCTTGAATAATAAATACTGCTACCTTTCTAAATACTGCTTTGATGTATAGAAAAACAGAGAAAATTATATGCACATTTGTGTAAAGAAGCATCCGTCATAAATATAGTACTTGAAGGAAACATGATCTGATGCTACTCACTATTCAAGGAGTTGGTTTCTCAGTCTTTCTATTTCCCACATCAACATAACTACTTTGCATTTGTTTTTTTTTTTTAATTTTTTTTTCCAACGTTTATTTATTTGTGGGACAGAGAGAGACAGAGCATGAACGGGGGAGGGGCAGAGAGAGAGGGAGACACAGAATCAGAAACAGGCTCCAGGCTCTGAGCCATCAGCCCAGAGCCCGACGTGGGGCTCGAACTCACGGACTGTGAGATCGTGACCTGGCTGAAGTCGGACGCTTAACCGACAGCGCCACCCAGGCGCCCCATGTTTTTAAAATAATATTGAAGAACGAGATGGTGGAGCAGAACTATTGTACAAGATTGTTTATTTTCACTTTTGAGTAGTAGTTTTAATCAAATGCACACTGAATGTCAGTGGATGTCCCTGTGTTTATGTGTAAATGTAAAAAGAGTGTTATTTTTATAAGTATCTGTAACTTTTATTGGAAAAAGGCAACTGCTATTCACAGTCACTCCAGAGCTGTTTGTTAATGGGATTATAATTGAGTCCATTAATGATTAGATTGAAGATGTATCTATATGAAAACAAACTTCGACAAAAATTTAAACTATATAAAGTTATAGGCAAGTATTAAAATGGAGCACTTTATGTTATTTAAACTATCCACTCAAAATAGTTTTGAGGAAGTTTGTGTAAAATGCATCATTGATGATTTTACTTTGTGTCGCCTTTTTACTGTAATTCCAAAGAGGATTCTAAAATTGCCTGTTTTACAAACTCAAAATTTTCACTTAGTGAGCTTGTTTAAAGTAAGACGCACTTTTATCCTGTTATCCCTGTTTAGTCAAATAGGCTTTGTGACACATGATCGGCATAGTCAGGGGAAGACTGAGCTATTGAGGCTGCCGCCTCTGAAATTCAATAAATAAAAAGCTGGCCATGGTCTGTGAGTCTGCAAGTCTGGCACCTTTGAAATCATTACATTCCATTAAATACTCCTTCATTTATTTATTGCCTGCCTTTGATGTTGAAATCAGAAAAATGTCCCTTTTCACAGCAGTGTAACTTAGGCTTGAGAAATTGCACATTCTTAGGCAGCATTCTTATTCATAGTTGCAAACTTGTAATTAACATGTAGATAGAGAGTGGGGTTACTGTGGTGGTTACCTGCTCCAACAACTTTGTCAATGGATATGTTGGTGGCATCCAGTTCCTTAGCAAACTCATGAACCGCTTGGGTAGGGTCTTCGTATGTGTGTGGGTCAACATAAGTCCTGAGACCTGGAAGTTTTACTGTTTAAGGGAAGGAAGAAAGGCATTATTGTAAAAACTGATTTATAAAAACTTTACTGAGAAAATTTTATAACCATATTATTAGTGAAAAAATATCCCTATTACCATAAAGTGAACCAACTGTTAGTTTATTCTGCAATTGGCAGAGAGGTTGGACTATGCGTTGAACAATTTAAGAAACACAATTCCCCATAATGAAACAAAGAGGAACCACAATGAACTTTCTCAGCAAAAACACTACAAGGAAAATGAACATTCAAAAAGGGGAATCTCAAGGAGAAGATTAAGTAGATCCAGTAATTATACCATCAGCCGTAGTGAGTGCACATTATGACACATTTATGATTCTACAAATAGTGCCGTAAACAAGTATTTATGAAAATGCCACATCTGACAATAAATCAAAGTTCGGGAAATATTTTCAAAAGGCAGTACAGTGACTAAAATTATAGATAAATTAATTAAAGGATATAAAACGGCATGTCTTTTGTCTGACACTATTCTGCTCTTAGTAACATTCACAATCAAACTCATCCCTTGTAATTATAGATATACTTAAACCTGTGAGGATATGCATATATGATATGGGTATTATATGAATATACTAACATAATATAAAATTACTGAAATCTTACTGTGTAGCTTTTCAGCATAAAGGCAATATAAATTCTCTATATTTTAATAATGGGGCCAAAAAGCTAAATCCCAAACATAAATTACATTTTTAGCCTATTAAATATAAACCTCCTTCATAATATGTATATTTATTTAATAATTCTGAAGGTGGAAATTTTTTGGGATGTTCTATAATTAAAATAGCATGGATAAAAGATACAGGAGAATCATTTTGGATTTGATTTAATATTAATGAGATTTCTATTATTTAGAAAAAATAAGTCATATTAGAAATAATTTGGAATGCTTAATAAACTAAATTTCTCTACAGTAAAACTAATTTTTTAAGTAAGCTTTATGCCCAATGTGGGGCTTTAACTCATGACCCAGAGAGATCAAGTCGTATGTTCTACCAACTGAGTCAACCAGTCACCCTTAAAACTAAATTTTTATAAAAGGGAACTTAGGATCTATTAAAGTACATAAACATGATCTAACACTAAAAGATATAGTATATGTATTTATATGATAGATTTTTGTTTTTAATTTTGGTAATTTTTTAAAAATTGGTAAAAAATATTGTTTTAGCAAGGGGCAGGAATGCATAATAGTGATTGTTTTTTCCTTTATGACCCTATATTATTGAAGGATATTTTTTATCCTAAAGTAACAAGTAAAATCAGATGTTATCTTTTACAGTATCCCTTTATAATGAAAGCATCTTAATGGCAAATTGCAACTGAGCATTCAGTGATGACTGAATTTGCATGAAATGGATGTAGAGACTGACGACAGCAATTATTCCAGAGAGCCTTCAGCACGATGGACAGTAGGCCAACGGGTCCAGCATTTCATGGTTCGGGCTGAGAAATGATCAGTTCATTGACATACAGGACTTCTTCATGAATTCCCTGGTTACACCACATAATAAGTTATGTTCCTGCAAAGTATCCATAAAGGTTTCAAGAGATAAAATAGAGGCATAAGAATAAATAGATTATAAAAAATAAGTGGTGGTTGGGAAGTAAAAATTCAATTTTCCTCAGTTACTTCTCCAGATGATTTTTGAGACTCTAGAATAGAAATGGGAGGGTCAGGAAGCAAATGGAGAAGAAAGGCTAAAGCTCCTCCTACTTGGCCTGTGTTGACATTGGCACTGCATGCAATACAACAGCCTCTCCATCCTGAGGCCAAGTGCAGATTATCGAGAAGACACCAATTTGAAGGTTACCTCCACAGAACTGGGGAAATGACAAGTCCTTTGCTCTTGCTTTGGGTAAACTGTGAGTAGAGCAGCTTTTGAAGTAAGAACTTTTGAAGCTTTTCTATTCTGAACAGCTCAGCAAAAATAATTAGCTAGGTGTCAGAGAACGAAAGCTCTTGAATACTTGTTATTCAAGTGCTCGGCACAAGTGCCTGTTATGGTGTTAATGCTCAATAAATGATAGAGATTACAGACATTGTATGTATTTTGATGTTAAGAATGTTTATTCAAATTATTAATATGATTGAGGTTTCTGGAGACAGGATTTGGGCCAGAAATGTGCATTCCTTTTGAGCTCCCAGATCAGTTTGCAAGCTTCTGCCATTATTGTAAACATCATTGCTTCCTATAAAAACACATGGCAGAGTCACTCTTTAGTTCAGTGGTCTATTATAATTTATTATTTCACTAAAACTATTTCTAATATTATCAGTACTAAAACACTTTACCCTTAAAATAAGCAAACAGATTAAGGAAAGCTATGATACTTTTCTTGCTTAAGAGTAAGGAAAACAGCAAAAGTAACTGTAGACTTACTAAAATATGTTAGGGAATAAAGTGCTGCCAGAATCTTTTTGTATAATAAGTTTAGTTACATTTTAATAAAAGCTCACATCAAAGGGAGACTGGGATATATGATCATCCAGTTTTGATTTATCTCTAGTAATTGTACAGTAAAGGACCAGAAGATAAGGAAATTTAGTATTCCTTTTCAAGTAAAAAAAAAATAAGGTAAAAACTGGGGAGCCTGGGTGGCTCAGTCAGTTCAGTGTCCAACTTTGGCTCAGGTCATGATCTCATGGTTCCTGGGTTCAAGCCCTGCATTGGGCTCCGTGCTGACAGCTCAGAGCCTGGAGCCTGCTTCGGATTCTGTGTCTCCCTCTCTTTCTGCCCTCCCCCCACTCTCTCAAAAATAAATAAACATTAACAAAATTTTTAAGTAAGGTAAAAATTATTTTTAAAAAAATGAAAATTTTTCTTGTAAACAATTACAAATGTGTTAACCTTGCTGAACTTAAGGAAATCAATTTGGAAGCAATTTACTGGTATCAGAATTTACAAAGACCATTATAAAGTGAGTTGTCAGAAACAGTGTCTAACATTTTAAATACATACTAGCTTTAAACAGCCTTGAATTGTGCTTTAGAGTGGCCCTTCTATACCTGTCAGCCCTAGAGAGTATATGTATCACTAAACAGTCTGAAAATTCAGTCGCCTTTCCCTACTAAAATCGAATTCATTGCAATTAAATAAAATCATATAAATTGCTTTTCTATCCACATGAAATTTGGGAAACAATACAAATATAAACACACACATCCCCAAGTTAAATGGCCTGTTCACTGTGGGAGCTTTGGCTGCTGACTTTTAACTGCTGACCCCAGAAGTGCCAGGAATCAGGTGATGCAGGATACAAGGCACATAATCCCTTCACACCAATAATTAAGGGCAACATACAGAGTAACTGGGCTGTGTCAAGAAAACCAGATAATAAACACATGCACACGTGTTAAGCTGTACTACTTTACAGCTCGTTCTGTGCAAACACAATAATTTACATTTCCATTTTACCAGCATGAGTTGCCCTAAGGATAGCAAAAAATAAAAAGGCCTAGCCAGAGAGGGCAAGGGGACAGGATCTTAGGAGGTGAAACACATTTCTTTCCTTTTGAAGCAATATTATAGGATTTGCAACAAGACTGGAGGGAATAGTTCATAGCTAGAGCTTTTTAAAGTAATACCAAATAAATGGTCTGAAATAAACCAGCTGTAGCACTAAGACGCAGAAAGTTTATGACATGCATATAAGTTATTTTATGCCCTTACAGCTAGGATAAAATGCATTTCTTTTTTGTTTGTCTATCATAAAGACATTGTACATTTGAAGAAAATTAAAGTTTCAACCAACTCCACTAGAAAAACCAAGAGCTAAAACAGATTGGAGTGATAGAGGAACATGCTTACCATTGAGACACAGAAATTTATCATTGTTCCAAATTCATGAGATTTACAATTCCGATATTAAAAGACCCAAATCAGTACTGTTTTACTCTAAAGACAATATTTACATTGACTATGCAACTCAAATTAGGAACAGTGTAATCCACAGGAATGTGACTGCTCTAATTTATGCACGGCAGCTGTGACTCAGTGTTTTTGGGGGGGACCATGAAAAAAGCTACATAAGCCTCCTGCAATTTGTTCATTCATTCTCTTAAAGTAATCTAAAATGATGAGATGTTGCCATGAGGAAGGTAGCGCTTTGGCTTTTGTGAATTATTCTGTGATGACTACAATGAGAAGGATAGAACAAACCATGCCCTTTGTAAACTCTGTCACTGTGTCCAGCTCACATCAGTTTACATTTTGGAACACATTCTCTTTTTCTTTTTTTGCAAGAAAAAAAGGAGGCTGTGTGCCTCCTGCATGTTAGCAACAGGTAATCAAGCTGTTACTTGAGTTATAAGGGGAGCTATAGTTTTTAGATGCAAAACCAATGACGGATATGACGTATCATGCTGAACTGAAAATAATTTTACAAGGCAATAGCAAATCAAAGAAAGTTATGCTTACAAGGCTACGTCAGTCATATTGAGACGATCTGAGAGCACGAAAGTATGAGTTTAGTCTGCACTAATTTCCATAAGAACATGCTATTCCCTTTGAGTCCACTGATTAGTAATTGCCACATCATTTGGAAAATCAAAATGCCTGGGATGATTTGTTTTGCCAGAAGAAGAAGAAAAAGATTCAGTCCTCTTATTAGATATAAACACTTTGCTTCCCAAAAGAGTATTTCCTTTAGAAAATATTAAAAGGAGACGAAATTGCTTGGTATTAACATACGAGGGAAAAGTGCTGGCTTTCCGACCAGTTAGGTATCGTGTAACTCCAAAATAAACAGTTTATTTTAAAGGCTCTCTCCTGGTTGGTTGACTAAATAGACTACGGCGTTTCACATAAACAGAGGTTGTTTATATTTATTTGGGAGTTCGGAAAGGGACAAGGTTCCTATTTAGATTTTAGCGAAGGACGAGAAATAAGGAAATGGAAGATACGCTTTGCCTTTCAGCTACGCAGAGCTGACTAGAGTACATACTCCCCATCATGTACATTATTTGGCTGTAAACCATAGGTTATCCTTCACTTTGCTGAAGGATGCTGAAATGTGACCATGCAAAAATTACTTCATGCAGAGCCATGAATTTCCTTCCCCATTTTAAATTAATTTAATCTGCTCAATTCTTTCCTAAAACTCCTTTTGCATTCTCTGCTTTGTGGGGAAGTTATCCAATTATGTATCAATAAGGCTAAAACTAGAACGGCGAAACCAAAGCACCAAAACAGCTTAGGAACTTACAATGTCCATTCCCAAAATGAAGTCTTTTTTCATCAGCACCATGTTTTGTCTTGTTATAGCCACAGAACCTGGAGGGAAGTCAGGGGAAGAGAACACAGAAAGAAAATATATGAAAGCAATTATCTATGCTCAGAATGTGCAAAGCACAAAAAAAAAAAAAAAAAAGGCATTTTCCTCAAACAATTAAATGCTTTAGTGAAAGTTTAATGACTTCATATTTTCTAAATCCTTTATAGAAAGCCTCTTTCTCTGGGGACTCTGGAAAGCTGCCTAATGAGGAGATATGCAGAGTTGCTTCCCCACTGTGCAGACCCCTTCAGTTCAGTTTTTATAATGGCCTTAGAAAGTGTTTATAGTATTTTTTTTTTAACAACTGCTGTTAGAATGAATGAAGGGTAAAGTCTCCATTGTCGGCGATTAGTGCTGTGCTGCCTTACCAGTGTTCTGGGTGAGAAAGTGGCAGGGAAATCTGGGGTGTATTTCAAGAGTGAGAGAACAATTGGAAAAAGAGAGTAAAAACCACAAACGAGGTCAAAAGGGAGAAGAGGTATGAGGTTGAAAAGTGGGGCAGGAATTTCATGGAAAAAAAAAAAGAAAATCAAAACTGAAAGATGGAGAAACAAAAGAAAGGGAAGGGAAGAAAGAATAGATACAAGCAGAGACATTCTTAGTTGTTAAAGTACTTCATTGACCACAGTCTTCAGATTGTAGCCGCAATTCAGGAGAGCGAGCAGAGCAATAATGAGTGGCTGTAAAAGAGACCGCAAACTCACCTCCCTATCAAAACGTAGGTGACCACTGTGAGGAGAATAATGGCCACTGCCGCTGAAATGGCAATCATTACCACTTGGCTGTTTTCACCGGAGATGGAGAAAGCTGGGGGGTGGAAGAGAAAAAGAAGAAAAGGCCAGGCATTAACACACCATAACTAACATCGGCATGGAAAAGCTGATAAACTCAGTCATAGTTACTCTGCTTTTACCTAAAATGTGGCTTCCTGCTTCATACAGTGTAAACAGAATTCCCCGCGTTAGTGTAAAAACAGACAGTGCCTATAAGGGTGCTTGAAATTTCCAATTAATAAGATAAGATACTCTCTTTCAATGGCATCAATCAAACGCTACTTGAGTGCAGAACTTTGCGAAACATCCTGGACTGGTTTTCTGTAGGCTTACTGCAAAGAAACTCATTGGATACACCAGAAGTTATCAGAGGAACATAGTGAACAGGTCAGATTTCCCTGAATGAAATTATAAAAGATTCCTAATTTTTTTTTTTAATGTTGATTTATTTCTGAGAGAGAGAAGACAGAGCATGAGCGGGGGAGGGGCAGAGAGAGAGGGAGATACAGAATCCGAAGCAGGCTCCAGGCTCCGAGCTGTCAGCACAAAGCCCAGCATAGGGCTCAAAGTGACAAAAGTTGAGATCAGACCTGAGCTGAACTCGGATGCTTAACCCACTAGGCCACCCAGGTGCCCTAAAAGCTTTCTAAACAAGCTTAATTATCTTGCAATATCTAGAGTTATTCAAATGTTTTTTTTTTCGTTTTTTTCGTTTTTTTTTTTTTTTTTTTTTAAACACATACCACCAAAAAATTGCTCTCCTACCTTTGTGAATGTCTCATCACTCACTCACCTAAAAATAGTCCGGGAGTCAAACCTGGCCTGCTACCAGTTTTTGTATACCTCAGGAGCTTAGAATGGTTTCACATTTGCTTCATGGTTGTAAAAAGTCAAAAGAAGATTTTTGACACGTAGAAATTATGTAAAATTCAAAATTTGGTGTCCATAAGTAAAGTTGTATTGGAGCACAGCCACATTCATTTGTGTATTATCTATGGCTGCTTTTATGCTACAATAGCCAAGTTGAGTAAGAGCACAGAGGCTGTCTACACACACAGCCTAAAATATTTATTATCTAGCCCTTTACAGAAAAAGTCTACTGACCCTTGAGCTAGAGCAGTGCTTCTCTAACTTCAATGTTCATTCAAACCACTTGGGAATCTTTTGGAAAAGAAGTTTCTGATTCAGTCGGTCTAGAGTGGGGGCTGAAACTGTGCTTTTCTTTTTTTAAATTTATTTTATTTTATTTTAGCGGGGTGTAGGGGAGAGGGCAGAGAGACAGAGAGAAAGAGAGAAAGAGAGAGAGAGAGAGAGAGAGAGAGAGAACCTTAAGCAGGCTCTAGACTCAACATGGAGCTTGGTGCGGGGCTCGACATGGGGTTCAATCCCATGGCGCTGGGATCATGATCTGAGCCAAAATCAAGAGTTGGACACTGAGCCACCCAGGTGCCCTGAGACGGTGCTTTCCTTATGAGCTTCCAGTGATGCTGATGCTGGCTGATTCCAGACCATGTTTCGAGTAGCAAGGATAGAGAACACAAATACGAAATCATCTTGTCTTTTCCCTCACCTCATCATTCACTATCCAATTAATCACCAAACTGTTTTAAGTGTTTTTTAGTTCATGTCTTCGTTTCTCTTCTGGATTACAATTAGAAAATCCTAATTGGTCTTTATGTGTATGCCTTCCCTATCTTTTATCTGGCCACTAGAATATTCCTTCTAAACCATAAATTTGATCTTGCCGTCGTCATGCATAAAAGTTTTGCAGGGCTCTCCATCACTTTTTTTTTTAAGTTTTTTTTTTTTAACGTTTATTTATTTTTGAGACAGAGAGAGACAGAGCATGAACAGGGGAGGGGCAGAGAGAGAGGGAGACACAGAATCTGAAACAGGCTCCAGGCTCTGAGCTGTCAGCACAGAGCCCGACGTGGGGCTCGAACTCACGGACCATGAGATCATGACCTGAGCCGAAGTCAGACGCTTAACCAACCAAGCCACCCAGGCACCCCTCTCCATCACTTTTAAGGTAAAATGCAAATTCTGTAGCAGAGCAGGTAAAGCCATTGAAGATCCTGTTCCTTGCCTACACCTCCAGCCTCATCTGCTAACAAACTCCATAAGCATCCTAATCCCTAGATTCTAAAATACATGCAGCTTCCGGAACAAGGCCTTTCACATGCTCGTATTTTAACATATATTGCCCTTGTAGTAAATGCTGATTGAACAAATGAATGAGCGATGTATCTAAAGAGCTTAGAAGAGAGACTGTGATTATTTGAATACTATCACCTCTCCAGACGCCATTATCAAATGTTCAGCCTGATCAAAATCTAAGTTTGGAAGGATTTCTTGAAAATAATGCAGTTTTAGGGAGAGCTAAATGATGCAAATAAAGAGACATGGCAGATGGGCTGTAAGAAGTTTTCTAAGCATCTGAAAATAAGAGCTCCAAGTGTGGTAGGATGGCATCCTCATAATATAAACTGCTGCAAGCTCTTTATTCTTTACTACCAGCAAACTGTTTACGCCACTGTGGCAGGCACAGGAGTGCCTGCTCGCATCTTTCCGCTGCCAAATTTGCAGCGGGCAGACAGCCTCCAGCTGCTGCACCTTCAGGACCCACCGCAGCCTTCATGCACGGGCCACCCTCCCTCCATGACTAAACACTATAAGGGGACTGGAGCCAGGCCCTCCCTGCTCAGTGCAGGACTCCTCTAAGGCAGTCTTCACTCTGGGGCTCCCCACCGCTTGCGGGACCCCCAGGGGAGACCCGCAGAGCTGCGCTGCTGGCTGAAGCTCCTCCTCCTCCTCCTCCACTCTTCTCTTCCCCTCCACCTCTTCACAGACACTGACAGACATCCCAGCAAGAGGTGCAGCCTGACCGCTTCTGTTCTTCCCGCCTCTTTCCTCTCTGCATTTTCCCCTACAAAGCTCATAGAAGTCCATCTTAACATTTCTCTCCCAGAACCCCTGGACGGATACATACCTATCCATTGGATACAAATCTGTGATTAGTTTGTAAAGTAACTTAACCTAGTGATTCAATAATGCTCCGTAAACCTATAATAATAACTTTATCTCATGCTTTCTATGTTGTACGTACATCGTAGTAACTTCTAAAGGGCAGCAAGGTCTGCATTCTCTGTGAAGTTTAGCCAGGAGATGAGATAAATGTCAATGAAACTGGGAGAGGAAGCATGATAGAAGGAAGAGGAATTCTCTGTTTCTTTTTCTGTCACAGACAGAATTAAATTAGGACATCTCTGCAGTGTCCTCTAGCTCTAAATATCTATGAAGCCTGGGGACTACCTAAGGCACATAATCAAAATGGATCATTTTTGTTAGTGAAATTAGCAAACATTTATAATGAGGGATTTTGAATAAATGCATTATAGAGTTGTCTAAAAATGTTACATGGAACACTTTTAAAAATTGCTGTCTAGGGGCGCCTGGGTGGCGCAGTCGGTTAAGCGTCCGACTTCAGCCAGGTCACGATCTCGCGGTCCGTGAGTTCGAGCCCCGCGTCGGGCTCTGGGCTGATGGCTCAGAGCCTGGAGTCTGTTTCTGATTCTGTGTCTCCCTCTCTCTCTGCCCCTCCCCCGTTCATGCTCTCTCTCTGTCCCCAAAATAAATAAACGTTGAAAAAAAAATTGCTGTCTATTACATGCCTTAGAAACTCATTTTGAATGTTTTCCCACAAGCAAACTGCTTCCCCTGTTTCTGGTCACTTCCCATTTAGAACATCCTGCACATACAGCCGACCTTCTCTCCCTAAAGCAGACTGGTTAGGAGCTCAGTCTCGTGAAACAGAATGCTTGGATTTGCACTTATTTTGCTGTGTGACACAAGATCACTGTTGCAAGGATTAAATGGGTTAATACAAGCAAAACACTTAAAATAGTTCCAAGCACTGAGTAAGTGCTTAATAAATGTTATATATTTTTATTATTTCATTTCTCCAGTAAAAAACTGGCAAAAAGTGCTGTGGATTCAGTTTCTGCCCAGTGAGGGTTTCCAGACAGTTGACTTGCCTGCTTTCCCAAGCACGTCAGTTTCATTCTGTTTGTACTTCGTGCTTTGGAGATGCCACCCTAACTCCAGGGAAGTCCCTTTACTCCTATGAACTCTACAATTTCAGCATAATATCTTTTTTTTTTTTTTTTTTTTTTTTTTTTTTTTTTAATGTACAACTGCAGCACTAGATTAGTACTCCAAAATTTGGAGATTCTAGGTTCACTGACTCTACTTCCTAGTTATGCAACCCGAGAAAAAACACACATAAACTCTGTCCTAAACCATGTATAAAGGAAATAATAGTACCGGAATAACTTATGGAACAGGATCAAATAAAATGCTTATGAAAGTTCTTAATGGGTCCCTGGATGGCTCAGTGGGTAAATCGTCCAAGCCTTGATTTTGGCTCAGGTCATGATTTCGGGGTTCCTGTCAGTGCAAGCCTGCTTGGGATTCTCTCTCTCTCTCTCTCTCTCTCTCTCTCTCTCTCTCTGCCCCTCCCCTGCTCACTCTTTCTCTCTCTCAAAAAAACAAAAACAAAAACAAAAAAAAACTTAACAAACAAGAAAGAAAATGCTTAATATATTATCACATAAATACATAGGTTCTCGAATCAGACCTGTCATTTCCAATTGTGTGATTTTGGAAAGCTTACTTAAACCTCTCTATGCCTCAGTCTCTTTGTCTGTGAAATGAAGATGATAATAATTATAAAAAATAAGACATTTTGGGGCCCCTGGGTGACTTAGTTGGTTAAGCATCTGACTTCTGCTCAGGTCACGATCTCATCGTTCGTGAGTTTGAGCCCCGCGTCAGGCCCTGTGCTGATAGCTCAGAGCCTGAAGCCTACTTGGGATTCTGTGTCTCTGTCTCTCTCTCTCTTCCCCTCCCCACTAACACTCTGTCTGTCTCAAAAATAAACATTAAAAAAATAAAAAAATAAAGATAATTACAAAAAATATTATCTAAACTCCAGGTAAAAACCCACTTTGTTCTACTAAGAAATATCTATATGTGTTATGAAAGATAACTTCTAATATAATTTTTAAAAATAAAAACTAGAAAAAAATTAGAATAAACAGCAAAATGTTAAAGAAATACAAACATCAGTCTTATATATATATGTGTGTATATATATATATTAAATATCAATATATAACAAATAAGACTTTTTTTTTTTAATTTTTTTTTTTTCAACGTTTATTTATTTTTTTTGGGACAGAGAGAGACAGAGCATGAACGGGGGAGAGGCAGAGAGAGAGGGAGACACAGAATCAGAAACAGGCTCCAGGCTCTGAGCCATCAGCCCAAAGCCTGATGCGGGGCTCCAACTCACGGACCGCGAGATCGTGACCTGGTTGAAGTCGGACGCTTAACCGACTGCGCCACCCAGGCGCCCCAACAAATAAGACTCTTAAGTTCTTAGAACGAATTTTTATGAATACATCATTCTGATTAAAAAAACAGAGAGTTGATTTTGTCTTTTTTTCCCCCTAAGACAAAAGATACCTTTTTTTCTCATCCATATTTAAAGTCTGGAAGAATTCTATGGTGAAAAAGAATAAACTGAGTTTTTAAAATATCAAACCATACCACTCAAAGATTTTTATAAATGAAGCACATGATGTTAAAAAGCTCATCTTTTCCTTCTTATTCTCTTTTCATCTGCTGTATCCATCAGTGGAAGTATTGCAAATATAAAACTTATTTGGCAAAACCCCCAAACCCTGTAGTTTTCAAATGGAATATTTCTTAAACCTGGAAGCCTCATTAGGGGTTCGTGCAGAATGCCATCACGGCAGTATCTGTAGTAAATCTGGAATCACATTAGTATATTGGGATTTGTTGTTCCCTTTGAAAATTTACATATCACCTAGAGTTAAGTGCTGATTAAAAACAGAAAATATGTTTATCTAATGGTGATCTGACCCTCCTGCCCCTCGAGATACCTAATTTCTACCACAGGATATAATGAACATGTGTTTTTTCGCTTTCTGGGATTTGTGATCTTTCTTGGTAAAGCAAATGTAGGTTTTGTTGTTCTTAACTTAAATAACCATTTAAAAGTTTGAAAAAAAATTCAATTTGTAATCATTTCAGAACAAGAAACTTGTTTGCAGGGCGCCTCACTGGCTCAGCCGGTGGAGCCCACGACTCTTGATCTCAGGGTTATGATTTCCAGCCCCACTTTGGGTGTAGAGATTACTTACAAATAAAATCTTTAAAAAAAGGCAACTTTTTTGCATTACTAAAACATTACAAAAAGATTGAGAACTACCAATGTTAAATTGCAATTAAACTCTGTTATGATGTCATCTAAAATTTTAAATTTGTTTTAAACCTGTTCAGGATGCACTTTCATGATATTTTATAACGTTCTGGTTTCTAATGTTCTCAGAGAGCCATTTCTCTTTGGAGTCCCAGAGGGAAGGCTGCCCGTGGACGAGTCCTGCCTTAGGCAGAAGAGGCTGACTCCTGTGCCCTTGCGGTGTTTAGTCATGGAGGAGAGCGTGGCCCCTGCAGGAGGCCTGCGGTGGGTCCTGGCAGGTGCAGCAGAGGAAGGCTGTCTGCAGCTGCTGACTTGGTGGCAGGGACATCCGAGCAGGCACTCCCAAGACCGCCCCACAGGTGAAAACACGTGTATCCATCGCAGGAGAATTAGCAGAGGTTTTGAAGTATATATAGATTAGTGTTTTGGGGGATGGCAGCTCGCCATCGAGTTAGAAGAATTACTGCGTTTCAGCGTGAGCTGATAATTTCTAAGAACACTAGATTCTCAACACCTTCCAGAAGGTACAGCTGGTTACGGTAAGTGGCGCTTCCAATCAGCTGACAAAAGGTGTGCCATAAAATAGCATAACTATTTGATACAGTAACTATTATTTAACTTAAACTGTTTTTTATAATTTGTGTTTATCTTTTAATGTTTCTATTAGGTATGGATTGTGGGCATAATAAAAATGTTACCGTACCAAAACCAATGTGCTTTTAGATTGCAGACAAAATATTTAGACAGGAAATACACATGCCAGGAACAGTCAAAAGAGATTACTGGGTTTCTCTTCGGTACTGTGCTGACCATTGTCAGACCCTCCCTGGATGATTTTTTCTAAAAGGAGTTCATCTTTGATTGTCTTTCTAGGCTATTTTACAACTGTGAATTTAAGTTGCAGGAAACTGAGTGATGTATACAATTTTTCCCATTACAATTAAAATAAAACGTTCACTAGAGATAGAACTGGTTTATGTACAGTAGAAAAGATGACTCCAATCATTACATTTATTGTCCTATAGGATATTAATCAGTCTGGGACAAATTAATAAATTTAGTATTCCTGATTGCCTGTAATATATACGCACACAAATATGTATTTATATATGCATATTTATCTGTTCTTCAAATTTTCCTTTAAACAAGTTTAATCTAAAAAACAAATAAACCAGTTTAATCTTTTTTAGAATATAATAAACAGAAATAAATATATAATAGTCTCCTCATTAATTAATACACTAAATAAAATCCTTAGCTTGAAGGTGAACTTGTGTTCACTCCATATTAGTACCATGGCCATGATATTTATTAGCTTTTTGAAAATCATATTTTAGCAGAGGGTTTTTCTAATATGAAGCAAATGCATTTGAAGAAAAGAGAAATGCTACTGGGAAAATGTTTGCCAATTTTAGACCAGTCTATGCCAAATTTGGTGTCAGACACACAAGATTATCCAAATTGCTTGTGAATGTGAATGAGGTGATAAATCAGGTTTTAGAAAATCCTTAATCTCCAAGTGATACAAGATTGAATATGTTAAGGATTAAAACAATATTAAAATCCTCATGGATCAGCAAGTTTCTTTTGCTAGTTCACTGAATCATGCAATGAACCTGGAACATCTGGATGAACAGGTACTGGGAGTATGTTACCATATTAAATGGCGTTCCTCAAAGCAATTTATGGCCAACAGAAGACCAGTAGCATTCCAGGCCTTAGAATATGTTTGATTTGTAAAAAAGAAAAAAAAAAAAACCCCCACACAGATGCACACCCACACTACAGACCCAACGCTATATAAATGGCTAAATATTTCAAGCAGTACACTTTCAATGTGTCTAAATGTCAACATATTATCTAAATTTAGATAGGGAGAAAAAGAGTGAATTATCAGACAACTTTGCAACAGCCCTCCCCCCTACACCCTATACTGAAATAATACATACAGTCCGGGCTAGTTTCAAATTCAAACTTGCGACTGTTGGTCCCATAGCCAGCTGCAGTTCGGGCTCGGATTTGGAATACGTAAGTAGTGTCAGGCTTGAGGCTACTGATGGTAACATTCGTGCCTCTTGCCCTCAGAATGGTATAACTTGTCTCTTGCTCCTGCTTTGAGGTAAGAAAAATCATGTTACAATCAAATCTTCATAAGGCTATTGGATGGTAAAAAGGTGAGCCACCCAAAACCAGTTCTTTCAGATTTTAACATAGGACATATAAAAGAGGTGACAATTATTTCACTCTCTGAATACAATAGAGGCATTTTGAAGCTAACAATATATACAGAATTTCCTAATTTGGATAAAATGATTTGCGCCTTGCACATAAAGCAGGAAAAGTTAGTTTTCATTCTTACTGGTTAGTGAACATGCAAGTGATATGCTTTCTTCACAGCCAAGCCTGAATGAAAGCTTCAATCCAATTTCAAAAATAAACTTACAAAGAGGAACATATCCTTTTGAATTAAACCTAATAGGGATGCCCTACTGATTCTCAGAAAGATATCAATTATAAAATATTAAACTTTAAAAAGGCCCAGGTTTTACATATGGCACTACATTAAATTTCTCAGCATCACTTATATGTGCACTGTATTTAATCTAAGTCACTGTGGTTTAGCAGAGACAAATATCTTCAGATCAAAGCCTAGAGACATTTCCCCAAAGGATCTTCTCCAGGAGACTTACATTGTATGTTAGGAAATTCACAGTGCAAAGTAACAGTAAAGTCTTTGTGTCAAGCCTTGTGTACAAAACTCGGATTTTCAGAGAATTGTGTTTTTCCCCTAAGGCACATTAACATATACTGAGCACTTTATGGGTAACCTGATTTTGAACAATGGTGGAATGCCCTGCACCTGTGCCGGGGCCCGGAGTGGATATCCTCAACCAAAATAACAGAATTTACCGGAAAAAAAGTTGTACATTACACACATTTTTTAGTTAATGATGCTGGTTATGTATTGAATCACATTTGAGTTGGTATATTAAATAATAAAGAGGATCAAATATATTTATTTTACAGAAAGAATTAATTCATTTTTTAAAAAATTGAGCATATGCCTGGAACTTGAATCTGTTCATCATCATTAGTGAAGTAAACAGTCAAGAAAACAAGACCTTAAAAAAAAAAAAAGAAAAAGTAAAAGAAAGCTAGACCTTACAGAATTTAAATCTAGTGAAACATTCAAAACATTTCTAAGCATCATTATACGTATGTATATGCATATGTATATGTGTGTATATATACATATATATGTATATGTATATGTGTATATACATGTGTCCGTATATGTGTATATGTATTTGAGAATAATTTTTAAATTTATGATTTAAGATAAAAGATATTTAAGATAAAAGTAAGTATTTATATAAATGTATATATTAAAGATAATATTGCAAGTAAGTTTGCATCAAATTTTTAAATGTTTAAGGATTAAAAAGTAGATTCAGCCATTTTTTCCTGCACTGGTTAATATTGTTTTAATATAAGGATGTGCATTGTGCTTTGTTGGTAGAATCTGACAATTTCAGAATTTTGTGTATGTTTGTCAAGATATGAACATAGATTAACTGTATTTTTGAATTAGCTCTAAATGTCTAAAGGTTGGGTGTTTTCTGGTTTTGCTATCTAATCTGAACTGAGGCATATCATTAATTTTTTTTTTTATTTTGTTGCATTGTCTATAAGACATGGATTCTTATGTTTGCCCAATCTATCTTGTCACACTTTTAAAAACAGAAGATCACGATCAGATGAGTATTTCACAGTGTCACAGTGGAGCACCAAAAGCTAGGATGTAAGTTATTTATACTATGACTTTAGCACAGTGAAGTTTATTGGGCCTCTTGTTTTCTTTTAATGAGAGAGACATTCCTTTCCCTGCATGTGGCAGTATGGAAAAAAATGGCATCATACTTGTTTGTGAAATACATTACCCTCAATAAAGAGAATAACTACACAATGTAGATAAATGTTTATAAATTACTTTTTTTTGCACAACTGTTTATACCACTAATTTCTCTAATGATCCATACTCAGGTAGAGCAAGGCTTGTAATACAGGGAAACATACTAACGGAGGAGTCATGGCTGCCTGGAATCAAAACAGATACCTGTTTATTAGCAGTGAGCTTGTGAGAAATTCAAATAATGCCATGGACTCTGTTTTCTTATTTGTGGATGAACCTATTTGCCCACTTTCGTAGGATTATCAGACAGCTCAAAATTAAATAATGTATGCAGAATTGTTCTATGAAGTGCTCTACGAATGCACAATTTGTTTTTAATTCACCTTGAAATACTTTGTAAACTGCACACAAATATGTTTCGTTCACATTGGTAGCTATAAAGCCACCCACCTCTGATAAGATTTGAATACATCTTGCTTTCAAACCTCACCATAATTTATAACCAAAGAAAAATAAGTGCCATTTAGAGTGACGAAATACTATATCCTAAATTCTACTTATAAATAATCGGGTACCTATTTTTATAATTGTATTACTGAATCACAATTTTAGGATGTGGACCAAACTCATCCATCTATGCCCACCTTCTAAATTACCTTGTACGACATCAAGAAAGCTTTTCATTGTCAGTTCAATTATACAATGGTTTTGTTATTAGTTCAATGTTCAACAGTTCAGTATCTGTACTGAATGAAATTCATGTGAATGTGAAGGTCAGGAAACGATGCCTAGGCAATAAACTAAGGAACAGTCCATCAAGAGATGAAGGAATCACTGTGAAATAGCTGATAGAACAGGGGTCTCTCAATGTAGAAGGAAAAATGTCATTTCCGATGCCATAACTAGATGGCTTCAGTTTGGTACTGACATCTTTGCTGTGGCTTATTGCTATAGAATGGGGGATATTTGGCACAGTGATTTCAAAACCCCACTCTACTTATAAATCAAAGGTATCAGAGGACCCAAGTTCCAAACAGAGCTCTACCATTTCTTAGCAATGCCATTGCTTTCTTTGCAAGTGCACAGCTCATAAGAAGGTAACCTCTTTCCCTACACAGCCCAACCCTTTAACGTCATCTCCCCACCTTTTCATAGTATTTGACCTCGTAGTCCAATATGATCCCATTAGGGTGTTCAGGCTCCTGCCAGGATAAAGAGATGCTGTTTCTGGATGTTCGATCCTTCTTAATCGTCATGACAGGCGATGGAGCTGTAAAGAAAATGGGAGGGGATGGGGGAGAACACAAATCAATCCAATTGGGAAGGGCGGTAAGGAAGAGCAGAACGAGAAGCGAGCAAGCAAATGCAAGCTATCATTCCTCTAATCTTTGGCAAGAAAGCACTATCTCCATTTCAAAGGCTCTGGAGTATTAATCTGGCCCCATATCAAGCCTCAGCAGCTGGATTATAGCCTTGGTACATACAGGCCTATGGAAAATGAGCTGAGATTTTCAGCTGCTGGTGGACTAGTGGCAAGTGAGCAGATGTTTTCAATCTGCTACTATAATGTAAGCAATGAAATATATTTGATATATTAAAAAAAGAACAAAAAATCAGGGCTACCTATTTGTTATAATGTTGCAAAGTTATTAATGCCAGATTCTTCAGCTCATTGATAACATTTTCATATGCAACTCTTTAAGAGGACTGGAATCCATTACGCACCAGGAGTCCCTTGGTATCTATAGATAATAATAATATTTACTGTATTGTAAAATACACAGGGTTTAGAACATATTATAGTAGGTCTTGACTTCTAACCAAATCTCTCATGAATAAAAATATCAGGAAAGAACAATCTTCTGCTGTTACATTTTTATTTCTTAAAATATATATATTTAATAAAAATACCAAAGAACTGAATACACTTTGTGTCACAAATCTTGGGACATATTTTGAGGTGTCTTATTGGGTGTTGACTCTGTATTTGTTATGTTTTGCTATGCATTATCTAAAGTACAGAATATGAATAAAAATCATCTGTTTGGATCAGATATCATACGGTTACCTTCATTTCTAATGGAAGATTAAATATATTTTAAGTGATATCCTCCTTAAGTCCTTCCATTAAAAAAAATGCGTACTATCCCTCAGTGCACTTCTGGTTTCAGATCTCAACCTTGGTACACTCACCAACTGAAATATCTCACTGTGGGGTTCAGCAGCATTCTGCCCTAATAGAATGCGGCAAAAGAAATTGCAAACATGAAACAATACAAAAATCAAGAATTATCAAGTACATTAACTGTTGAATTGTTTTCACTGCTAAAGGACCTATTTTCTTACAGATTTTTCTCAATCAAGAAGCATTAGAACGCTGTGTATTTGTATTCCCCAAAATAGCCAGCATTGGAAGATTCCTATTTGTGGATTTGATGTTTCTGTCATTGTCCCATGCTGACGTTTGCATCTAACCTCTTAAATTGTTCCTGTCTGTAAATGCCTTTCATTTGTATTCCTTACTTAAAATAGAGCTTTTGCTAAGCTTGCCTCGTGACACTGTATTAGAAAGGGTAAATCTAAATGAAAAATCCGCTTCAATAAATTCCCCATCCTCCTATTTCTATTATTTGTAAGATCTTCTGAACTCTTTTGTAATTAAAGCTTCATTCATTTAATGGCCTGGGAATGATAATTTAATCTTTTGCCAAGGAAAAATGTAGCTGTTGCTTTTCTGATGGGAAAGTAAATATATTTTCTTATCCATATTTTGTTCCCATTAGCAATTAACATCCTTTCATGTAACTTAACATCATTTACCTTTCATATTCAATTTTTGTCTATTCAATATTATTGTTTTATTTCTTGGATTGGCCTCACAGCACACTCACCCCTCCAACCTGTACTGGTTTGCTGCTCTTGAATTGATTCTTAGCAAAGGATAATTTATTTTGGTTATATTTCATTAAAATTTTATAAATGTATTCAATGTTTCTAAATACATCATTCAGTTATAAATAAACAAAAATGTTAATTTTTGAGAATTATTTTCTTTTACTTTAACCTTTATATTTAAAAAAAAAACAAAACAACAATTCATTAATTGTTAATAGAAAAGTTGTAGCCCTAATGTCCTGGGAAATAAATATTGTTTTGTACAAAATGAAGAAATTCCACTAATTTTCGTGCTGAAATAAATCCATTAATGGAATAACTTTTAATATATACTTACAGAGCATTTCAAAGATTCTTGATGTTGGAACACTTTCTTAGTAAACCCATGGAGACCCTACATTCATTCATTCCATATCACCATGAAACTGGTTTATTTTTCCTAACAATTAAAATACAGTTTTCAGAGAAGTTTTGAAAATTACCATGTATGGCATCTCTCCTTAAAAAAACAAAAATAAAACAACAACACAAAACAAAAACAAAACAAAAACAAAAAATGAGAGAGAAAATAATTCATTTCAAAGAACAATCGTGAGGAAGGCTGTATTAACTTTTTAATGAAAGCTTTGCAGGCTGCTTGGGATCTGCCCAACGTTTACTGCTTCTGCACTGAGTAAGACTTTATAACTGCTGAAATTCTTCAAAGATCTTTGAGCAAGCTGCAGGGCCCTGTTCGACTGTAATAAATAGTCTTTTGTAATTCCACACTTACTTAAGTAGAGGCAATTGCTCGGAGCTTGTGCCTTCTCTAAGTTAAATGAACCTCTTCTGATTGCTGCTTTTAGGCCCCTGTTAAGTCATTTGTTCTGCTCTTTTAGTGCACGCCTCTTGTGTTGGCTACATTTCAGCAGTGTCAGCCCTGTGCACCAGCTGGGATCCTGTCACATTTAGGTAATGCTCATCAATATTTTAATATTCATAAATAATTAACAGAAATTGTTTTTCTCTCTCCTAATAAATAATTTTAAGACATAATAAAACATACTGCAGGAAGAGATGAATTCCGTGGGCATTACACTGTATCAGTGCTCTTTAAAAGATTTTCTAGAACACTCCGAATTCATGTCTTGAAGTATAATTTATCCACACTTCCTTAAGTGCTCACAGAATTTGTAATATTAATGAGAAACAGTGATATGGATTACAGCTCTTTAAGTTAGTTTCCAGGTATTAAAGGGTGATTTGTTCAAAGTGCTAGTTTCCAAAATCCATACAAATCCTTTAAATTTATTATTATATTTTGTATTTAAGAGAACACGGTATTGCATATATATCATAAAATAGATTTGATTTTTTGGTCTTCATTTCCTTTTTTTTTTTTTTAACTTTGATTTGAAAGAATGGCAGGTAATAGTTACATGGAATGAAAAAAAAAATCTAGGGGAGCCTGGGTGACTCAATCCATTGTCTTACTCTTGATTTCAGCTCAGGACATGATCTCACAGTTCCTGAGATTGAGCTCCACATCAGGTTCTGTGCTGACAGCACAGAGCCTGCTAGAAATTCTCTCTCTCCCTCTTTCTCTGCCCTTTGCCCACTGGTGCACATTTGAGAGTTTACGCTCTCTCCCTTTCTCTCTCAAAATAAATAAATTAATTAAATATATATATATATCCTAAAACTAGAAAAATGCTCTCACCTAGAGTGAGAAGTTACATAGGAGAAGGAGACACAGCTTTTTCCCAGAAAAATGTGGGTCCTATAGGGGCGCCTGGGTGGCGCAGTCAGTTAAGCGTCCGACTTCAGCCAGGTCACGATCTCGCGGTCCGTGAGTTCGAGCCCCGCGTCGGGCTCTGGGCTGATGGCTCAGAGCCTGGAGCCTGTTTCCGATTCTGTGTCTCCCTCTCTCTCTGCCCCTCGCCCGTTCATGCTCTGTCTCTCTCTGTCCCAAAAATAAATAAACGTTGAAAAAAACAAATTAAAAAAAAATGTGGGTCCTATAAGCTAAAACAGCAATTACTGGTCAACACCCCAATAGCCCAAGATTAAGAGTTTTAATCTGGTGCCTCTTTTATATATATTAAATGACACATTACTAAAATGACTATCTTATTAAGAGAAAGAAGTTGATGACAAAATAGGCTGCTATGAAACTGGTCCAGGCTTTTATGCAGATTAGTAAATGCAGAGTTATACAGGAAAAAAAATATGAAAAAGGGGTAACAAGAAAAATTAAAACAGTAAGAAGAAAATAATTTTTAGTAAGTTAATGACCCTCTTTCAAATAATGTCTTGGTGTATAAAATACATTTTGGTTATATTGGTATTTGAGAGGGAACAATTATTTGATCTTCGCTTTTGCTGTTCTGGGTATAGCCGGATATACATGTCCTCTGGAAGATGAAGAATGGAGACATGATACACTTATAAAGTGAAATGTATTATATTTTAACTGAAATGTTTCCTAAAAGAATACACATACAAGAAAAAAGGGTTGGGAGGGAAAGAGAGGCTCAGGAATCACACAGTTAATCATCTTCCACGAAGCCTTCCTATACACACCACTGAAAAATTATGACCCTTCAAGGTACTACAAAAATTCTGTGGTGTCACAGCTGACTTGCTCAAGGCTCTTTCAATTAATTCTTCTTTAAAAATCTTCTTTGGTTGGGGCATCTGGGTGGCTCAGTCAGTCAAGGGTCTGACTTCGCTTAGGTCATGATCTCGCGGTTCGTGGGTTTGAGCCCCGTGTCGGGCTGTGTGCTGACAGCTTGGAGCCTGGAGCCTGCTTCGGATTCTGTGTCTCCCTCTCTCTCTCTGCCCCTCCCCCCTTGCGCTCATGCTCTGTCTCTCTCTCTCTCAAAAATAAATAAACATTGAAAAAAAAATTAAAAATTTTCTTTGGTCATTACATAGACCTATACCGATATTTTCACTTTATGTTATCTTGTAATATGTGTTTTGTAAAATCTGCTATCAAATGGTTTCAATTTCTATTCTGGGGAGACATCACTTCCTGGGAACCAAGGATTGAATGTACACTGGGTGTTTACTTGCCTAGTTCCAGACCACTGCAATTGGTAGCCTCTTGAATCAGAAACATGTAATGGGTAGTCCAGAGGACAGTGACATAAGAGAAGTATAACCCTCAAAGTTGATAATTGAACCCCAGTTATTTATTTATAAAGGAAAGGCAATATTTTCTCTCATTGCCAGTGTAACCTGAGCCACTGACTGCATCTAATGAAATAATCAAAAAAACAAATTTCAATGAAGAAGCAGAAAATGTGGGCTAAAGAGGTTTCCAGGTAAAGAGATTGGCTTAGAGATGGGGCTTGTATGGTTTACAATTTGTATTTGAATTACACATGGTAT